AGAATCGGAAGGCCAGATTGGAATTTGCAAGAAAGTATAGAGACTGGCAACGTTTTGTTCTGGAAGAAAATTTTTATGGATGGATGAGATTAAAATTAAGCTCTACCAAAATGATAGAAAGTGATAATCTTGCAGTCTTATACGATCTAAAATGATGTCTCGACTATGAAATTAGTCCCGTGGTTCGTTATTACGAGAAGCATTCAAACACTCCGTAATGTCTGTAATATAAGCAGATAGTAGAACGCCCCAACAAACTAAACTGACAAAATCTTCAATAAGCAATAACAAGAAAAAAGAAATAAAGCATAGTACAAAAATAACATAATGCAAGAAAATAATATATGCATGGTAAATTAATAGTAATAAAGCAGAAATTTCACAAACTAAGAATTGGCGTTAACACACAATAGCAAATTTGTATAAGCGAATGTAGCATTCTGACATCAACACAAGACAGACCGGGACTTAGTCACATGAAAACGAGAACCGGTCATTTTTTATTGGCTAGGAAAAAATCGCAGTATGAATCTGCCTGCTTCTGCCTTTAAACTGAGGAGTGGAAAGTGTTTTGCAGTTATTCCAATAAGGATTGAACCATTAATTTTTCAGAAAATGAAATGTATGTAATATGAAACTCACACGGGTCTCGTAGACTCCATGGATTAGTATGGCACCCCAGCTCTCAACAAAACTAAGCGTTGCTTCAGCGGATTCTATTGCAAATAACATTTTACGGTATGAACCATACCCAACCGGATTTTGTATCCCTCAGTTTTTCCCAAGAGACCCACCCATCTAGGTACTCATCGGGTTCGATACTGATTAACTTCGGTGATCAAACGAGAACCCGTATTTCGGCGGGATTCTTTCGTAGACAATTATGAAAATATTTTGATATTTTAGTAGGTAAGTGTTATATAGAATTAAAGTGTCGCTGTCGACAATTTAGTTTGAAATCATAGATTTTTTGTATTTTTTATTTTAACAAAATCCCATTATTTGAATTACGATCATAGAGGAAACATTATATATTATATATATATATATATATATATATATATATAATCGTTTCCTGAAATCCAAAATCGCGTGAAATTTGTAGATTGATCGCTATATTCTAAACAATTTATCCTCTTCAATTTTTATTCGGGTCGCTATTTAATATATATAATCGTCACTAAAACGGATCACTATCTGCATAAAATGAATACGCATGTTAAAATGGGTTCCCCTCACAGTAATATGATTGACTGGTGTCAGTCATAAATATTGAACTGATGTGGAGGTACAGGGACTACGCCTATTGGACTACGCCTATTGGACTACGCCTGTTGCCTACGCATATTGCCTACCACTATGACGAGGACCAGTCCATTACGGTTACCTGCTAGATTGTCCTACCTGGTTACAGTAGTCAACAACCACTTTGCTACTTCGAACAAATATATCCCTTTCCGGGATATATCACTATCCCTCCTCTATACTCTATTACTATAAGGATCACTTTTTTCTATTCGGATCAATACTGTCCGAGCCAGTATTATCGAGCAAGTACTATTAGTCCGTGTGTTATTCGAAGGCGTCTGACACCAGTATTGTTCAACGTTATAGTCTAATTAGATGTCTAATTGATCGATATTCTTATTTTATCCTCTATTGATATACGGATCTCTGTTTCTATTCTATCCTCTATTGATATACGAAGCGCTATACTCTACTCTATTCACTATAATATTTCTTTATTCAGACCACTGCTTACTATAGGTGCTTACTATTCGAGCGAGTGATATTCGAAGGCGTCTGACACCAGTATTGTTGACATCACAAAATTAACAAAGAGTGGATTGAAAATCGAAAATAACGACCGGAGAAACGATAATAGTCGTTCAGCTTGTTTTTTAGAAAATGCTAAATAAATATAAACGCCTTTTGAGATATCTAAAAGAAAGCCCGATAATGATAGCAGTTTTTATCTAAAATGAAAACATTCTTTTTTAGTAAACGTTAACACAGCGGATCGCTATTCTCTATAATATCTCTCTATATGGATCACTATACGATGGTTACTTTTCGAGCGTGTATTATAGAGCAAGTACTATTAGTGTGTGTGTTATTCGACGGCGTCTGACACCAGTATTGTTCAACGGCGTTACTATAGTTGTATCGACGATTACAAAATCTCTACTACAATGAGCCTTACGAAAATGATAACAAGTATTCGTTGACATCACAAATATGTCAAACGAGTATTCCTCGTTGAAGCGCAAAAATAAGTAAACTTGGATACACATGTTTAACAGGCATGAACAGGAAGTATCATGATGTAAACGATTTAATTTTACACCAGTTAAAAACAACCATCTTCCGGTAACAGGACTCCTATTATAATATGGCAAAAACTCTTAGAACAACAGGTAGAAAATTATGGAGGTTTATTTGACTAATTCAGCTTTAGCACTGAAATAGTTTATTTTAGTACAGTGGGTGATTACAATCGAGAGGGGAGATGGGATGCAATTATTTTTTTACCACACCTGTCAAGACTGAGTCAAGAACTAATATCAAAATAATGGATAAACATAATTAGAAATGGGCCTTATTAGTGATTTGAGAAATTTTTATGGTAATAATTCCCCGAGAAATCAACGATTTAAAAATGTTAGTCAGTTAAGTGATACACGCTTGAAAGATCGGATGTCTTTTAATACATGACTGAAAAAGGAAGATTATTTTTCAGCAGTGGGTTGCCATTTCTTTCTGCGATGAACTGGTTACCGACAAACGCTAAAGAACCCAATATTTCTACATACATAGCTTAGGGAAGAGAGATTGATTCATGCTTTTCCCAAGCGTAATTGTGTGCAAGCGTTATGGGACCTTACCCATAATAACATAATGGACCATTCCATACGTAATAAAAACTGCGCCTCAAGAGGAAGCAGGGAGTTCAGTCTGAAGTCGGACGACCGACTGATCGGCTGATCGGTTGACCTCTCTGCCTTTGGGCGGGGAGGAACCCGAACGAGGCTACGCCGAAGGGCGGAGTCTCTTTCGGGGAGGTAAACCGACCCTGAACCCGTTTATACGGGTTCAAAGGGCATATTTTTGGCCGAGCCCACGGGCTCGGAGATCCCACGTTAAACCGACCTTGTGCCACATGATACCCTTGTGGGGGGTGTGACTAAATACTGTTCAGTCTGATGTCTGGAGTGAAAACCGTCAGAAGTCTGTCAGTCAGTCAGTCGAGTCAGAGGCAGTTCGAAACAGAGTGGTGTTCAGACAATTACTACTAAACCTGATTGTTCGTACTAACACTTTTCTACCTCTCTGTATATATTCCTGTTTGTAATATATCTGTGTTATTCCATATCCTTGTTCGAGTTCTTCTTTATTGGTTCTACCTTAGACTATCACCGTGGTACAAGGAACCGGACCATAGCAGTAAGTGAATTTAACGAACTCGACTGAAATTCGAAATCGGCTCTCTGATTTCTGACTCCGAGCCGATATCCAATACACCATAACGTACAAATCTATAATTGTTTATAATAATAATAATAAAAAAGACGTGATGAAAGTTGAACTTCTCGCGCAGATTTCATTTTCTGCTCGACCTGAACGTCTTTATAAGTAATAAATATGAAATAGTTACAAAAAATATACAGTAATACAACGGGTCTTCAAAAGTTCCTGGTGGAAGAGCTATAAAAAAAAGCTATACAAATATTATGTTAAAATAAATTTGAACTCATGTTATAACTTCTGCGAGCCGGAATACTTTTGAGGTAATAGATATAGGTTTACACCAGTTTAGAAAAACTCGCTTCAGGGCAGCCATAATTTTACCGAAATTGAAACAAGTTCTGGCGACAAATTAATACTAAACCTGTTCGGAAGACTGATGAAATAATTAGTTCTTGGAGAAAGGTCTGTGAAAATAATTCAACGATGAGACAGACATTTATAAATAAATAATTATCTCCTGAAAAGCACGATACGCGCTTGAGAATGACGGATAAATCCGCCGACCAATCAACATAACTTTGTGTGGAAAAAATCGATACGGATTGAGCTTGGATTGAGACTGGGTGAACGCCGATTAAGAGCAGGAACAATAACTCCTTGGATTATCTCAGATGATTCAGCCTCCATAATATTATCTAAGAATTAAAGTTGAGGAAAATTTCTGATCGCTTGTGTCAAAACCTGCTCAGCACCGGACCAAATCAGAGCTTTCAATGGAGATTGCCGTGCCCATAAAAAAATGAATTATGCTATCACAAATAAAGATAATGAAATAATCATAACAATTATAATTACCATTAATACAAATAACCGTTTTTAAACCAATGAGAATAAACTCTAATCTTGTCCTCTACCCCGCACAAGCACGTCGCACTTTCACTATCAGAGAGGCCGTCATTTCAGATATTTCTCAAATCCCGTTGACCGTTTACACATAATTTTACCCAAATTTTAAAAATGATGCAAAGTCAATATTATTAATATTTGATTACCAATGTAACTATAAATGCATATTTTTTTTTTGCTTACTAAGGATTTTAACAACACAAGGCAACTACACTGCTCGTTTCCCGCCTGACCAACAGTCAATTTCTCCACAGCTAGCGAGAAAGAAATATGTCAAGAATTTTGCGAAATACTGGGTTTATTTTACTAGTGTAGTTTTTAGAGTTAAAAGACAGCAACATCTACTTATTACAAAGTTGGTTGGTTGTTTTATCGGCATATCGATAACTGTATGTGTTATGTAATGCCGAAATCTAAGTATTTTGTACCCACTTTTATTTTGGGGGAAAATTAATAATTTATTTTTACGCAAGTCTTATTAATTAACCCATAGGCAGTGGGAAAACAGGTGGGTTCATACTTTTCCTCGCATGAATGAATATAACCAAACCAAATGGGATAGGAACTTGGCTTTCCGATTAACAATTCCGTGTCTTTATACATTACACCAGCCGCACATCCAAGTTCACAACACTTGGTCTTCCCAAGCAGTCACCCATCTAGGTAGTGACCAGACTCAACAAAGCTTAACTTCGGTGATCTTACAGAAACCGGTGTTTCAATATGGCGCTTTCGTAGACCAGATTATTACGAAAATGTTTTGAGAAAATTAGCTGACAATTTATCCTTGGAAAACCTTAATCAGTGAATATGAACCTACCAATTCCTGTCGTGCCAGAGAAAAAATACGAGAGTTTCAATGAGAAATTATTAAATTATTAGACCTCCACTTTAGAGTCCTGACCAAGCCCTTTCTGATATTCTTTTTATTTCCTAGAGCTATATATCTATATATATATATATATATATATATATATATATAATTATTTATTTAAAAAATTATAACAAATATTTCATAAAATCACTACAAAAATAGCCATTTTGTTTCAACACATCCGGTGTCTTATCAAGTGATGATGATGAATATATGAATATATATATATATATATATATATATATATATATATATATAATTATTTATTTAAAAAAATTATAACAAATATTTCATAAAATCACTAAAAATAGCCATTTTGTTTCAACACCTCCGGTGTCTTATCAAATGATGGTGTTGAATATATATATATATATATATATATATATATATATATATATATATATATATATATATATATATATATATTTAAGGACCAGTTTTGTGACCATTAATAACATAGCATAATCTCTTCTCTGACATTAAATTCTTAGGTCACTCAGTTCTTCTTAGATTGTATAAATATGGTGGCATCATCGCTTATCGATATGCCTATTTATGGAGCTTAGGTAGATAATTTTCCGCTATTTTCAAGAAAAATGTTCAATGATAAGCTCCTTTCTGTAAATTCCACTACTTCAGACCTTTACAGCGATGATACAACATGCTAAAACTACGGAATCGAATCATACCATTTCTTTTGTATTCCAAATGTATGAAGAGACTTCCAATCGGACAGCTTTTACTCCTTGCATTCGATAGGCTAGGTAGGATAGAAAGGTAGATGTAATGTGGGATCAAACAGGCGGACAAGACGATTCCAATCTCCACGTTACTGATGGATCCAAAGTCTGGCCCCAGAACGAGGCTGAAAGTCAGTGACTAACGTCCTTAGGGTCTCCAATTCCGAATTTTTAGCTGTATAGTATGTGCTACGCTTGGGCTACTTCAGATTAAATTCTACTAGAACCTAGTCTGTCCTGCTGTTTACTTATATATGGGGATGGTGGTAGGGTGCGAAGAGTATTAGCATGTAAGTGAATTTAATGGATCCGAATAGGAAAAAAAAAAAAAATCAGAAATGCTATCCATTACTGTTTTGTGCCTCCTCCCACGTGGATTTTTCCCTGAATAATACAAGTCTAACGCCGTCAAGGGTCAGTCGTTATCTGTTCTTATTTTTTTTATTATATTCACTTCTTACGACATTCATTTAAATTCATATCAAACATCTCATTCAGTAAATCTCTAGCTTGAGTGGTTCTCAAGTCTTGTGTTGGATGAAAATATGATAAAATAAATCTCATACTAAAAAATGTTTGCTTTTTGTTCTATTTTCCTACGAATTTAAAATAATTCCCCTCACTGAAAGCTAGAAGCAGTGTTCTTATAGTAAAAAAAAAAAAATGTCATCAAGACGTTCTTCAAAATTTCTCTAGATTGAGCTCAATTGAAAGAGTCGAATCGAAATTACATCAGAAGATTCAGCCAAAACGTTCCATAAAAAAAAAAAAATTATTGTTTAAAGCATGGTACATCCAACGCATTAAATAATTATTTCAAATAAACTCAAGATGGCTCCATACACAATCATTATTCCAGGAAGGTAGAAAAAGATTTGACGTACACATCGAGTAATTATCTTGACGTAACTTTTGACATATCACAAAAGATTGGCATTGAACGACCCATTCTCTGTTGAATGGTTTTATGATATTTGAAATGCATCCATCTTTGAGCTCAATGAATGATGACGGGTTTTAAATTTCTTATTTTTAAACTCTTTCGTAAGCAAACTATGAAGTTATATCTAATTGAACTGTTCTCGTAAGATGCAAAAACACACATTTCTATACAACTTGACCACCGGTGAACAGTTGGCTTCACCTTGTGTTTACTGTTTACATTTGAGAGATGTTTTAAAAATACATTTTCTTAGACTTTATATTTATTTACAAAACACTTTTATTTTCAATATTATTTGCTCGTTTAAAGTATACTACACATGACACGTTGCGTTAATGAAGGTTCTAATTATAAAGCAATGAAGTTGATTTCAACATTAAAAAATTATCTATATTTCTCAGATGAGGTATTATGTACACTATTTACATTATTCGGTCTATTGTCTTCATCTTTGTCGCCATATTTATTACAACGTTTCGGCCCTTCAGTATCTGTCTATATTTCTGAGATGAGGTATTATGTACACTATTTACATTATTCGGACTATTGTCCTCATCTTTGTCGCCATATTTATTACAACGTTTTGGCCCTTCAGTATCTGTCTATATTTCTGAGATGATGTATTATGTACACTATTTACATTATTCGGACTATTGTCCTCAGCATGGATGTCAGTTGTCAGTTATCTCATGTTAATTCTCCTCTCCAAGTTCTCCACCGCCTTAACCAGGTATTGAACTCACACTCTTTGGGTCTTGTAACTGGATCTATCTAACGCCTTTATCCACTGCGCCATGTGATAACTGACATCCATTAGACATGGCACGTGGATCTAGAACAGTCTACCCCAGTGAGTGAAATAAAGGGTTCTGTTCGACATTCCAACCACCTGAAGAAGGCCGGAGCTTACAACGGCCGAAACGTTGTGATAAATATGGCAACAAAGATGAGGAACATTGTCGGAATAATGTAAATAGTATATTAAAAAATTGTCTGCTTGAAATAAAAATACTTACTGTATAAAAAAAATCGTGTTTTTAAATCATATATATTACCCGTGACCCACTGAGTCACTGAAGATCCACATTATAAAATATTGAAGTTGCTTTCAACATTAAAAATGTTTGTTTGAAGAAAGTTGAATTAAAAATATTTAAAATATTGTTTGTTGAAACAAAACTGAAATATAAATAAGCACATACGCCATCACGGGAAGGTGGAAAGAAAGTGAGTTGGAACGAGAGAGAGAGGTGGAAAAAGAAAATGTTTCAATTTCCTTCTCTCGCCCACCTCCTACCCGATAAAAATTTACATCTTTCTTTCACCCACTCTCTGTATATAACTTCTGGCAAACACACATGCAACGTTCACACGATTATCACCTAGTTCACAATCCTCTCTGGTCTTTTGTACTGTAGTAGAGGTTTATACCCTGTCTCCTTTCATCGTCTTTCATTCCCAAAAGCACTTGCGTTTTTGCGGCATTATAAGCTGATTGGGGTGAATGAATTAAAAAAAAAATTCTGAAGGCCTTTTCAAGAATGGTAATGCCGTTTTCATGCAAGGAAATGTTTGGTATCCATTGCCAATTCTGCTTTCGGTCGAAATTTATGAAATAATTTTCTTCGGAAAACAAGTTTTTCAAGATCAGAAACTATTATCCTTGTTTTCATTATTGCTGTAGGTCTTCCTTCTAAACTTTTCTTTGAAGTAGCGTGGACTGTCAACATTTTGTCATTTGGTACAGTTATTTGTTTGTGATGTTGTAGTGCCAGTTAAAAAGTTTTACTAATGATAATTGGTCATCAAGTTCGTTTTTAAAGACTATAACTAGCGTATTGATTTCAATTGTCCGTGGTAACAAACTTGTAGGTTAGAGTAAGCAAGACTTAGTAATTAGGAAGATTTGCCTTCGAAAAATGACCAGAAAGATCGATGGCTTGTATCAACCAAAGCAAAGTTGAGTACATTGTATATGTTCATTTAAAAAATACGGGCGCTGACTAAAACTAGTGTAATTAGTTCAATCGTAAATCTATATACCAGAGATGGGACTTTGTCTCAACTAAGAACACATTTGTAAAAAGATGAATGTGAGGAACTCGTTGATTGAGCATTAAGATCCATTTCGTGAATATCAATAATTATTTCCGCAGCAAATAGTGATTAACTATTTGAATTTGAGCAGCTGTGGGAAAGTACATATACCGTACTAATCAGGGGGTCAGGATTTAGAGGTTTATGAAGGTAGTTTGACAGAGTTTTCAGTGTGTAGTATGATCGATTCTACCTTGTTGATCTATATTTTTGATCCAATGACCTATTAAGATCAACCTGCCGCTGAGAATATGACAGTGTCTTGCGTAAGGTCGGGCAGCAATGTAATACAGATGCTATCTACTTCAGACAATTTCCACATCGAAAAGATTACGAAAATAATAAATGAAAGTATAAGAAGTGGTTGACATAACGGAACACAATAGATGAATCATCATCCTAGCAAATGAATGCGCGAGTGCATATACATATACACATATATATATATATATATATATATATATATATATATATAGTAGCGAGTATAAAGATTAGAACTATGTTAAGAAAAAGTCTAAATGTAAAATAACTTTTTATTCAAAGCTTCAAAGAACATTTTAGCAAGGAAAAATAAGGATATAAAGGTAAATTATATAATTCCAAAATATAAATCTCAATAAACTTATTTTGATAAAGTTATAAGAATAATTATATAACATTCGAAGAAAACAGATGATGAAAAACATCAGAACGATTAAATAAATCCATAAAATTTAATAATTATTTTGCATCATTGAAAATTTTTTAGAGTAAGAATATAAAATAGGGTATTTTACTAAATTACATCAGAGGGACGGCATAATTAACCACACAAATAACGTTATCACATAGATTATGATGAATAGACTACGTAAAAAATTAGACCGGAAACATGACAGAACAGTGTGATTTCGTTAAAGACACTGGAACAAGAAATACAATATTCATGATCAGAATTATATATATATATATATATATATATATATATATATATATATATAACTTATTTTAGGATATTACAACAAAAACATGTAAAACCATACACAACTTCAGTCGTGTTTTCAACGCATACCAATGCGTCTCCTCAGGCG